TAATTATATATTATATATTGGAGCAAGTAATGTCATTTGTGATTGACTGCATGTAAAATTACAACAATATGGAGTATTGAATATTCAAATTCAAGTTCATTTTCTGAAAAATAATTATGAGCAACCCCCTTGTTGTTAATAACCCCATGTTAATTGCACAAGACACAAAAAAATAGTCAAATGTACTTTATTTTCTTTCTCTGTTAAAAAAAAGGAAAAATTGATTTTAATAATCCCACCTTTAGCCAGTTTGCTATTAATAATCCCACCTTTACATTATTTGTTAATAATCCCACCTTTATATAACATTCTCTTTTATTGGTCCCTAACTTATTGGTAACCGGTTTTAATAGGTTATGATGCTACGTGTCAATTTGTTATTGGTTAGAAAAAAAATTAATTAAAAACAAGAAAAAACTAAAAAATATTAAATAAAAAAAAACAAAAGAAAAAAGAAAAACCAAGTCATTCCCAAATTCCCCGACGCCACCCAACCCCCACCCTAATTAACGCTGCCCCTCCTCTCCTCACCACGGCTGGGTGACAAAAACAACTTCCGATAGACTGGTGTGACATGGACACTTCGCCTGGCTGTGCGATTGGATGTTGCTTCGGCTAGAGACGGTTGTTGGAACGTATAATAGTTTCACGGATGATGTAGCTGGGCTTTCGGTCTGCGTGCGTCGGCCGGCGCTGCTTAGGTTGCTTCGGCCTGACCACGGTGGCAGGCTGTTGTGGTGGCTGCGTATCTAGCTTCCGTAGTGGCAGTAACGTGGGTAGGCAGCAACTCAGTCACGGTTTCGTATTGTTTAAATTCAAATTAATTAGTCGCAATGGGGTAGTTTTAGGGGAAGATGAGTGGGAATTGGAGTGGTTTTAGGGGAAGGGGAGGCACTTTTCGATGAGTGGGTGGTGGGGAGGGCCGACAGGCGGTTTCCGGTTATGGAGGTGGGGGCTGCCGGAAGGTCAGTTAACGGAAGGGGCGGTGTTGTGAGGGTTGGTTGCCTGGGTTCTATTTCATTTTTTTTATTTTTTTGTAATTTTCTTTTAATTTTTTGACCAAATCACTTTGTGACACGTGTCACTTAATTTTTTCCAAAAAAAAAATAACCTAATGTATAGGTTACCGGTCACAAAGGACCAATAGAAGAGAATGCCTTATAAAGGTGGGATTATTAGATTATTCAAAGGTGGGATTATTCATAGCGAACCGACGAAAGGTGGGATTATTAGAATCAATTTTTCCTAAAAAAAAAATAAAACATGCATAATAATTTGTTACGGTGAGGGTCAAATTGAAACAACAAGCATATTAAGGAAACGATGTCGAGCTTTTTACCTTGATTCTCCATTTTCAATGTAGTTTCTAAGTGTCTCACTTTAACTAAATACGTATTGATACTCCTATAACTCTCTCTCTTATATTTAAGTACCCCATTTTAACCGGACACGTATGTTATATTAGACCAATTATTTATGTAATTAGCAATAAGTATATTAAATTATAAAAAAGTTAACACTGGAAAACTATACATTGAAGCAATTCAACAAGTATTGACATGACTTTATTTTTTCTTATGTATATATCAATAATATCGGTAAGAGTAGATTATGTGAATAATGCAAAAACTCAACAACACGAGAGGATTATAAATTAGATTAAGGACCATCGTTTCACCAAATAGAATAGTGTTTATAATACTTCTTCTACGTTATACTATCAACGTTTCTTTTTAGTTGACACGTATTCTTTTTTAGGAATTTTTTTTAGTTGACACGTTTTCTTTTGGGGTAAATTTTTTACCTTGCATTCACAAGCTACCTCACTTGCTTTTTCATGCTCTCTCACTCTCTCTCCTCTCCTTAATATATGTGCCTAAATTAAACATGTCAACTATATAGAATCGGAGGAAGTATAAAATTATGAATAGAGAGGTTTTGGTTTTAGGTGACAAAGTAGTCTTCATGCATGAGTATTATGACTTTTTTTTTTAATTCCTGCTTTCATTTTATACAAGGTTGATAATTATAGGCTTTATAGCATACTAGACTAGAAGTATCTTAGGCCTCATATATTTGCAATTTGCCTTGCCTTGCCTTGCCTTGCCTTGTTGATTTTTGTCTTTTTTTGATCCAATTCATTGGTCCAAGTTACTTTGACAAGCCCACTAATCAATGTCCATGTTCACTTCTAGGCCCAATGTCCACAAATCTCTAGCCTAACCGCCCATGAAGGAGAGAAAAGAGCATGATCACAAACCTCTTTCGAGAGAGGGTTTAAAGAAATCTTAATAATTACACAAACATATCATAGTTATGCAAACTAGAGGGTCGGGATTCCATTCTTTACATCCATGAGATTAGGGATTGAGTAAAAAATTTCATAAGAAGCATTTGAATTGTGGTGAGGATATATTGGGTATTAACATTATTACTTTTAGAGTGTGACCTTCATTTGCATTTGCATAACAAATGATAGCCACATGAAATGATGGAAGCCGATTTTTAGGGAGAGAGAGTTATTAATTGGTACTAAGTTTTAAAAATATCTAAATTGGCTTAGACTTAGGGCATGCTCCGTTTAGCTTAATTTCACTTTAGTTCAGTTTAGTTCAATTCAGCTCCATTGAGTTTAGTTCAGCTCCAAGTTCAACTCAGTTCAGTTCTTAATTTATTTCTCTCATAAACAATTTATTTCAACTATATTCAGTTCAGTTCAATTCCTAATTTCCTTCTCTCATAAGAAATTCATTTCAACTTAATTCAATTCATTTCACTTCAATTCCAATCAGTTCAGTTTAGCTTAGTTATTTTCTGTAAATTGGAACAAGCCCTTGTCATCCTTGAACCTAATACATCTTGCTTGACAAGCTTTTCCTCCATTGACATGATACTTCTTGAACCTATTACATCTTGCTTAGCAAATTTTTGTCCTAAAGATAAGAAAACATACTGTATTTCAAAGCGTGGCAACTGCCTAAAGCCCTGTTTTTTAGAGTTGCTCTGCCCTGCTGTGTTATGCTCTCCTTTGCTGAAATCTGCTCTACTCTTCCCTGCCCTGCCTGCCCTACTATGCTCTACTCTGCTCCGCAGTGTGTAGAAGCCTAGCCCTACTCTGCTGAAATATGCTCTGCTCTGCTCTGTCCTGCTCTGCGCAGAAGCTCAAAAGAACCGGGCCTAACACGAGGGTTAATAACTTTTTTAAATAAAAAAATAATTGCTTAGTTATGATGTAGTGTAGTGTAATGTCATTGTCATTATTTGACTAGATGATTCACGTAGAAATATATATGTAACTGCCAATATTTTAGATGTCTAAAGCGTTCAACTAGTAATTTAATGAGCACATTTATGCATTTTTTAAAAAACTATATATTAAGGGTTTGTTCTATTCAGCTTAATTTCTGTTCAATTCAATTCAGTTCAGTTCAGTTCCAACAATTCAGTTGAGTTTAGTTCACTTCATTTCATTTCCTAATTTCCTTATCTCATAAACAATTCACTTATGCTTTATTTAGTTCAGTTCAATCCAATTCAGTTCAGTTGAGCCCCAACCAGTTCAATTCAGTTAAGTTGTTTTCAGTAAATCAGAACAGATCCTAAGACCGCGTTGTAACAAAAAAAAAGTGGCACCAATTCGTTGACATGCAAAACAAATCATGACTTTGCAATGTATATTCATTATTCAATAGTACAATTACAACTAGATGAAGCCCATGCGATGCACGGTTTGTTTGATTTTTTTTAAATAATGTTTTTTTTTGTATTTATGAGCCTAAAATTTGTTATATATTTAGATAAAATTCCTAATATTAAAAGATAATATATAATATTTAATTAATTTAAACTTAAAAATCTCATTCGCCAATTTTGCTTAAATGACATTTAAATTATTTAATTCTAAAAGAAATTAATAATCTCTTATTTAATTGGCTACTACTAAGATTTATAATTCTAGATGAAGCCCGTGCGATGCACGGTTTGTTAGTATTTTTTTATCAAAAAATATTTTTCATATTTATGTGATTAAAATTGCTATTATATTAGTTTTAAAATATTAGATAAAAATTCCTAATCTTAAAAGATAATATTTTGTATTTAATTAATTTAAATTTTAAAATCTCATTCGCCAATTTTACTTACGTGGCATTTGAATTCTTTAATTGTAAAAGAAATTAATAATCTCTTATTTAATTGGCTACCACTTACCTTTATAATCCTATATGGCGCGCTAAGAAAATTAAATCATACGCGGCTCTCTAAAAACTCGGGAAAAAACTCCCCTTTATATATATATATATATATATATATATATATATATATATATATATATATATTAGATTAGATTGTAAATTCCAATATAAACAATAAATGTAGCTATAAAAAAATATTAAGAAGTTATGGCATTGATCAATGCATAATTTGGCTATAAATTCCAAACTTAATTATACCGTTTTATAAAATATATATAGCCAAATATACAAACAAGAATGGGTGATAAAAATTGATCTCATAATCTCATAAAACTCTAAAAAGCCTAGGAAAAATGATGTAGACAAGATTATCCTAAGCTTTTAGTACCATTGCTTAAAATTTTAATCAACAAAACTAATTGATCATCCACTTCTTGCATTCTTTTGTTTAAACATTTTAACTTTTGACAACACTATCCAAAAACTAACCTTTAACAAAATTTTGTTATCTATAATTTTGATAAAACATATTTATATAATTAGTATTAATTGTTGAACTTGTACTTTGACAAACGTGATAGAAAAATCATGTCAATTACAAATGACAAAGAAAGTACTATATCATAATTGTATTTTGAGTGAATGAGAGACATCTTAGAGTTTTATGAGATTATGAGATCAATTTTTATCACCTATTCTTGTTTGTTTTTATAAACTCACACTCGTAACAATTAAAATTATATACGGAGTAATTATCTATCCCTAAAATTTTATACTTCTTAATAATCATGTACGTAAAATACTAAACGTAACCATAGATAAGTGACGGAGGGAGTATTTGGAAAATACCACAATGGATTAACTTCTTCATTAATAGAGAGATCAATGATTAAGTCAATTAAGGAGTTAAAAAAAAAAAAAAACAAAAAACATTGTCTTACACCTCCTCAACCAAATCGCAGAACCCAGATCATCACTCACATACAACCAAACTCTCTTTCGTCTTCTTCAATTCCTCCTTCCTCTTTCCCCCAATTTCAGGATTTCAAGATCAAAACTTTCCAGAAATTCAATTCCGCTGTTAGGTAATTTCCTTCTTTTCTCAATTTCTCTCTTTGCTTTAACTCTTTCGAATTCAATTTTTGTATGATTTGATCCCACTGAAACCCCTCTTTAATTCGCTACTAGGTTCATTGATTGATTGTTTGATCTATTGGGGAATTAGGGTTTGTAATTTTTAGTTTCAATTTTCATTGTCGGTTTAGAATTTGTGGGAATTGAATTAAATTTGTTGATCGTATTGAATTTGATTAGTTAGTTTATGGGTTGTGATTGTGTTATTTTGTTGATTCGGTTAGGTTTAATGATTGATTTGATTTGGGGATGATTTGGATAAATTTATGTTGGGTGTCTATAATTTCACCGCAATGTTTATGTTTAAATTTGTCTGATTATAATTGTATTTTGGTCTAGCATCATCAATGATTTCATGGATTATTATGTAAAACCCTTAATCTTAGCTAGAGTATATGGTTTAGGAAGAAGATATGAATGCAAGTATAGATCTTGGGAGACATTATCAAATCGAAAACCGATAATTGATGTTTATTTGTACCCTGATTGCCTTAATTCGAACAATGTAGGCCTTGTAAAATTCTGTATAACTTAAGATGGCGGGTTCAGGCCAGCGTCTCAATGTCGTGCCAACAGTTACCGTGCTTGGGGTTATTAAAGCCCGTCTTATTGGTGCTACAAGAGGCCATGCTCTCTTGAAGAAGAAGAGTGATGCTTTGACTGTGCAGTTCCGTGCCATTCTTAAGAAGATTGTGTCTACAAAGGAATCTATGGGGGATATTATGAAAGACTCTGCATTTTCCTTAACTGAAGCCAAATATGTTGCTGGAGATAATATTAAACATGTTGTCCTTGAGAATGTCCAAAATGCATCCCTTAAGGTTCGTTCTCGGCAAGAAAATGTTGCTGGGGTGAAGCTCCCTAAGTTTGAGTACTTCACAGAGGGAGACACCAAAAATGATCTTACTGGATTGGCTAGAGGTGGCCAGCAAGTGCAGTTGTGCCGTGGCGCCTATATAAAAGCCATTGAGGTTCTTGTTGAGCTAGCTTCTCTTCAAACTTCATTTTTGACACTTGATGAAGCTATCAAGACTACAAACCGTAGGGTGAATGCTCTGGAAAATGTTGTGAAACCAAGGTTGGAAAACACAATTAGTTACATCAAGGGAGAGTTGGATGAGCTGGAAAGAGAGGACTTTTTCAGGTTGAAGAAGATTCAGGGTTTCAAGAAGAAGGAGATTGAGAAACAGCTTGCAGCTGCAAAGCTTTTTGCGGAGGACCAGGTAGTGGAAAGAATTTCTTTGCAGAGAGGAATATCAGTCAATGCAGCTCATGATATATTGGCTGGCTCGGTGAGAGATGAGGACATAATCTTTTAATGCTGAGGTTAGTCTACTGAGTTTTTATCTTACAGCTGTGTGATTTCAGGCAGTTCGCTCTTTGTAGAAGAAAATTCTCATTCATTAGCTGGAGTAGCTTGTATGTTTCAAATAAAAGCATATACCGATCTCTTGTTAGAATCAATCGGAATTCTTTAATTTTCTTAATCATCCTATGAGTGACTTTGGATTTATACATCATTGTGATTCATTCGCTTTGTGAAGTTGAATATGTATTGTTGCTTCTTTTTGGTAAAAAGACGAAAGCTTTGTCATTACTTTTGATCAAGTACACCAGTGTTTATGGACATTGCTGTACATATGGCCTTTACTTTGGCTAGTTGTGTTTATTTATTTTCAAATAAGATGAATTACTTGAAACACTTGAATGAAGATGTTTATATTGCCTTTTTGTTTTTTTTGTAGTCTTGACCTGGTAAGTTTGAGATTAAGCTCAACTTGGTTTCCTCAGATCTTTTCAGTTGGTATCCATCTTTGTGATTATTCTGATATTTGCTGTTGGTCATCTTCTGAATAGAAGTTCGATGGTTAGAACTGTTAATTTAGTGGCTAATATGTGGGCATAAGCCTTAATGTGTCTGCTTAACAAAAAATATTAATCAGTGATGGTGACAGGTGCTATTTTCCCTTTTGTTTTCCCTCAATTTGTGATTTTTGAAAAAAAAAATGTTTTTAGTTGTTAGAGTTAGGGTGAAGGTAAACATACCAAGTATGATAGATCTTTATATAAAAATTAGCAACTTTTTGAGAGATTTTCTGACAACGATGCCACCTCCAACTCTCCAAGACTTGGGGGTAAAGTTTATGATAATGAATCTTAAGTCACACATAGAAGGATTAGATATAGTTGTAGAAATTCTTTGGTTGAGTCTGATGTTGCAAGTGTTGTATCAATTTAAGGTTCATACCATGTTGTACCATAGTCAATGGAGCTCTCTTTCATTGGTATCTATAGTGCTATATGTGTTTTTTTGTTGCACGCTTACCTGTACAAGTAGAACAACTCTAAAATAAAATTTAGCCCTTTGATCAAATCAGGTAAATTAATTTAGTCACAGCATGCCCCTGATTGAGATTTGGAGAGGGTTAAGAGGAGCTTATAGTTGTTTCACCGAGTTTAATAGGGGGTATCTGCAAGTGCACATAAATTACTTTGTAGATATTCTTACCAGAGTTGAGCCATTACTTTTCATTATCTTCCATAACCATGCTGCAAAATGGGTTTGGAGAATGTCATGTTAGTATGGAAGAAACAGAGAGTAAAAAATTTGTGTCCTCTTATATCTGTAAAAAATGTAATTAGGCATACAGATTCAACCTTACAATTTAAAGCCATAATTATACTATACATTGGGAGATGCACACTTTCACACAAGCACACCCCAAGAAAAGAAACGCAAGATGATTAATATACAATGCAGTTAAGCCCATCTTATAATTCTGTATGTTGTGAAAATGTTGTTTGGGAGGAGTCATAGTTAGCCTTCTGAGAAGAAAAAGATACCATTCTTTCCTTCATTTTTATGGCAGCCTCAGAGCTAGAACCATACACGGCCCCTGATATGTCAATTAGACCTGGGTTCTGGCTGTTAAGGACAGAAAAATGGTGGCAAACTCAAATCCAGCATTGAAGCAGAAATGGAGCATACTCTTTGGGACAATGAACACATCACCTTCTTTTAGAACCTTCTGAAACACCTGGTTTTTGGTGTCAATAAACCCAACTGTCACAGCCCCTTTGGCTTCAAAGAGTATTTCTGCAGCCCGAGGGTGAGAGTGTGGGGACACTATACCATCTACCTCCAAATCAGTTCTAGCCAATCCGAGGCCCAGGGTGTTGAGGCCTGGGAATTCGGCTGCAGTCACTATGTTTGTAGAGGAGCGGAGAAAGTTAAAGGTATCCCCAGCTTGTTTTAGGTATGAGGTTTTGAAATCAGAGGCTGTTATATTTGCTGGGTTCTTGCAAGGAAGGCCATTGATGAAAAATGTGTTGTGACAAGTTTTCGAAGTTGTGGTGGCTGCTGGGCAGATATCTTGGAGGTTATCGTTGTCTGCTAAGCAAAATTTGAAGCTAACAAAGAGGAAGTATGAGATGACATGCCAAGAACTAAATATTTTGAGGTTTAATTTTTTTTATTAGAGGTTTAGCAAGTTCTATGTGCTAGTTAAGCTTGCATAAAATGGATATATATGCATACTTGATTTCTTGGCTTAGAGTTCACTGATCTTTTTCCTGGGAAATGGTGGGGTTGGATTATTCTTCAAGTGTGATTACTTAGAAGTAATATAACTGTTGAAGTCTCCTTTGCACCAAAAAGAAATATGCATATGGGAGATTTTCTAGAGCCTTTAAGTAGAAATTAGTATACAAGGCTAGAATTTCGTATGGCATCGTGATAGTATACGAGGATGACGAGGCATTTACACGGACTTGAAACACTAGTAGTTTGGAATAGGATGAAGGATGCTCAGCTCTTTACCTAATTGGCAAGGGTCATGATGTATCTCTCTGTAATCTTACATCTGATACACTAGCTCCTGCATTTAGAGTTACGTTTCATCCGCCGTAATTAGATTTCGTACGTTTTAAGTTCTTCATACTCCGTATTATTAAGGACTATAGATTATAGAAAAATATGGGAAATGTCGAAGTGTAACTTACTCTATTTGATAGAGAGGCTGAGGAAGTTATTTCGGATTAGGTGACTACTACCTTTGAACATCCAATAAACAGTACATGTAACTATTGTTGACTGAGATAGCATAATGTTTACTGTTTAAAAATCTATGTTTAAGACTATGTGGGACTGATTAGAAGATTTAGAACTTTATAGTTTAAATAGTCATGGTCTTCTTCTGTTTACTCCTTTGTTAAGAACCTTAACCAATAGTTGTTCTATGTATGTATTCCAAAATTCTTCTCTTAAATGAGTTAGGGCATGTTAATTTCAGCTTAATTTCAGTTCAGTTCTTAATCTCTTTTTTTCATAAAATATTCATTTCAGCTCAATTCAGTTAAGTTCAATTCCAATCAGTTCAGTAAATGTGAACCAGCCCTAAGTAGAATTAAAGTTCGAATCTCATGTAAATTACCGCTGGAACAGGAATGCTTTATGCTTAGATTGCTTACATATTAATTTTTTGGAACGTCTGGTTCCCATTCCCATATGAACGGTCAGTTCGTAATCTTTTTTGAGAACTATTTGGCACATACTTATATACGAAGTATTAATCAGTTAACTGAGAGACTAATCAAATATGGAGTATTAATCAGTAATTAAATAATTATACAGCTATCTATTGATGTTGTTATCCTATGATTAGAGATTTTCTATTTTTAGAGAGTTGGTTAGAGTGTAATTGTCATGTGAATTAGTATTCCTAACAGACTCGTATAATCAAGCCTTGTAAACCCTGATCAAAGATACTACACTCGGCTATTAAAAAAAAAAACAAAAAATACTACACTCTGAATTTCGCTCTTTCGTCTCCTCTTTGCAAACCTTCACTTCTGTAGTTCTGTCAATGTCACTACTCAAAACATCGCATTGAATCACCCCTTTTCTTTCTACCATTCTTTGGACATCCTTCCTCGTTGCTAAAATATCTTCCATGAAATTTCAATTTCCGCGTCATCATTCTTGTCTATTGCAGCTCTGAACACCTTCAATGTTGCAGCATAGTTTCATTACTTCCATACCTATATCTTTCATACATCTCATATATCGAGTTATCGACTATTAAGCTCGAAATCATCATCCAGTAGAGATGAAAGGCTAAATCCTCATCTTATTATTCTACGTTTCTACAAATCCCTGGTTGTTCTTGATTTTTTTTTTTTATTTTTTTTTTCACGCATAGATTCACGTAGGCTCGTTTAGACCCAAAGGAATATTGAGACCGGAATTAAAATGTCGGTGGATATAAACCTTATAACCTTCATGTAAACCCTAAAACTTTCTTCCTAGTAATTTGCTCTTTAATGTTCTCCGTTTCTTTGTAGAATGATCCACCATTTTCAATTTAGGCGTACAAAAGTCTCAAATGCCAACTTGCTAAAAGAAGCAGTAACTATCATCTTAGGCTTTATTTTCTTCAATTTGCTGAACTTATCATATGAAATTTATCACTTAATGCTTGAAAGATCTATAGTACTATATAAAGAGAAAGCACTTCTTCGTCGATAAATTTTGCTTTTCCTAAAATACCCTTTTATTTTTTAAAAATTACATTATTTACCCATAATTAAAAATTATTTTTTTATTAAAAAAAAATTATCCTATCATAACTACCCATAAACATAAACCATATTTAAATAAATAAATAAATAAAACTACCTATCATAACTACCCTATAATAACTGCTCCACTTCTTTCACATAAATATATATCTTCAACTGTAAAACCGCTCTTAAGTTTTTTTTTTTTTTTCCCTTCTAATTTTTGCGTGTACCTCTTAGCTTGTAAGTATAATTAGAAAAGGGAGTAAGGAAAAAGAAAAGGCAAAGAAACCAAAAACATATTAGCATCATGTAAAGGGGAAAAAACAAGGGACTTGTTAAACATCGCCCGCGTTTTTCTACATAAAGCCCACATTTTTTAAAAATTTTGACATTATTGCCCTTGTTTTAATTTTTACCGAAAATGAAAATTTTCACTCACCAAAAATGAGGAGCAGGACTGGATCGCCGAGTGAAACCGAAGAGCCCTCAACGTCGGCTAGATGCACCGGAGAGACGCCGTTGACGCCGGAAAAGGAGGTACGAAGCCATCTAAAACCACGAATTGGCGGCTGGCGTCCTGCCGGGACGCCGTGACCGTAGTGGTGGCTCCTAGCCAGGACGCTGCCTCCGTAGGTATGGCGCCTGGCCAGGACGCCGCCACCGTGGCCGTGGCGTCTGGCCAAGACGCCGCCACCATGAAAGCGGCGTCCTGGCCAGGCGCCATCGCCACGGTGGCGGCGTCCTGGCTAGACGCCACCGCCACGGTAGCGGCGTCCTGGCTAGGCGCCACTGCATTTTTTTTTTTTTTTTTTTAATTTAATTTAAAATTTGTTTTTTTTTTTTTTTTTTTTGTGTTACAATTTTTTTTCGTTTTTTTTTGGTTTTTTTTTGTTTTGTTTTTAATTGTTTTAAAATGTAATGTAAAATTTTGTGTTTGATTTTTGTGTTTTTGATCGCTATGTTTTTTATGTTTATGTTTTTTTTTTGTTTTTATTTTTTTGGTTTTTTTTTTTTTTTTTATTTAATCTAAAGTTTTGTTTATGTTTTTTATTTTTGTGTTTTGTTTTTTTTTTTTTTTTTTGAATACTTTTTGTTTATGTTTTTTATTTCTTTGTTTGTTGTTTATATTTTATTATTGTTTTTGCTTTTGTGCTAATGTTGTGTCAAAT